ATAAGTAGATAAATAAAATACATATATATATATATATATATATATATTTGGATTATAATAAATCATTAAGGAAGTAAAATTGAAAACCTTTATGTTTGCCAAACGATACCAAACAAATAGTTTAACAGTAACAAATGTACTTGATCACGATACTTAATTTACTGTAGATCGCTGTTAATTAGCTTTATAATGTGTTATTAATTATTGGAAAATGCTTTATAGTACGGTATTGAATCATTCCGTCAAGATTTGCATGTAACAGTCATGGATAGTTGATCTAGCACGGTTACAAATCCCGACAGAGTGGTTCCAACGTAAAATCTCCCTTAATTTATTTTTGGCAAAACTAATTAATGCTTCCAAGATCCAGTGATCTTAATTAATTTCACATCTTAATTTTTGACCAGTCTCTTGATATAATAATGTGTGTTCATCTTTATACAAACATATCCTTTATAAATCATTTTGTATTCCTATTATTTTTCTACCCCATCATGTATTACGACGAGGATAGATAATTAGATTCAATTCTAGCTACTCACACACGACATAAAAGCAACATAAAAAAATTAAAAATTAAATCAATGAAAGAAAGAAATAAAAATATACATCCATAAATTAAATTTTTGGAAGATGCTACGGTCTCGTTACATAACCATTGTTATGTTTTTGCTCTTTTGTCCCACATCGGAAGTGGGATGAGAGAGGAGGAGAGTTTTTCCCTATATAAGAAAGTGCTACTTCTTATGTAAAATCACCCCACAGAGTTATTGTGTTAACAATTAATCTCTGGTTAAAAATCCCTTAGGGTGAGAGTTAGGGTTAACGAGTAGAAAATTCTATGGGGTAATTTTGGGTAAGTGAGTGGTAGAAAAATTGTGTAATTTTTTTTACATAGTGGATTTTCTACGACCTTGTTGCCCTGGTGGTTTTTCCCTCTTCGTTAACAGAGGATTTTCCACGTTAAATTTTGTGTTCTCCAGTTTTTTATTTTTAGAGGATCTTGGGCGGAGTTTCGGTGTGGTCGGAATTCCCAACAAGTGGTATCAAGAGCGAGGTTAGCCTAGTTGGTATTCTGAGTATGCTCTGTGGTTGCAGTTTTGTCTGATCTTCCACATCAGAAAAGATACCAAAGAGGTCTCTTCGTGCGGTGGAGCCAGTGACGGGTGGAGCTTGTGTGCAAAGGAGTTTTTTGGGCAGTGGGAAATAATTACTGTGTAAGTAGGTTCTGTCTAGGAGACTGGTTTTTTAAGTGGGACCGTTGTGACCCCACCAGCCTTTCCTGGGAGCTTACTTAGAAGGGTAATTCTTTAGGGGGCAGATCGCTACCCTCCCTGAGAATTTATCTGATCAGTACTATTAAAGGTTGTTGCTCGGTTTTCTGCGAAGTTAGTGTTCACTAATTTACGAAGATGTCTGGAAATAAGATATCGAATCTGGCGAGATTTGATGTGGAGAAATTCGACGGAAAAATCAACTTTGGCTTGTGACAAGTGCAAGTGAAGGACGTGCTGATTCAGTCGGGGTTACACAAAGCTTTGAAGGGCTCGGAAATTCCCAAAGGCAGTGCTACCAGCAGCACTGAAGAAAAGGCTGGTGTGAGCAAATCTGGAATGAGCGATGAAGATTGGGAGGAACTGGATTTGAGAGCGGC